AACTATATACAATAGTTATATAATGTCTTATTATTTATTGACATGATTATTAAGTGACTTATTAATTGAGAATAATTTTATGTAAAAAATTTTCTTCTGACATGTAGCAAATCGTTTCAGGGGCTCGGCGATCGCGAAGATCGTCGGTGCGAATGTTACGAAGTACAACAACATATTTGAGACTCGAGTGACAATGTATGTATACGAGGAAATGATCAACAACGAAAAATTAACCAGTATAATCAATACCATCCACGAGAACGTTAAATATCTACCTGGTCACAAAATTCCGGAAAATGTGGCAAGTATCTCTACGAGAATATATAATATTATTCTTTTTATTCGCAATGGATATTCGGTATCAATTGCTCAGTAATTTTTTTTTAACAATACGTTTGAAGCTTAATTAATAATCGTCAAAATTATTAAGTGTTAATTATTAAGTAATTTTTATTAAACAAAACTTTATAGCGTTTCAAATTTCTTTAAATTTCGCATAGTGTGATGCTGAATTAAAACTTAAAGTCGAATAAAGTTCTGAAACAAGTAGAAACATATAGTGTCATAATGTTTTTACAATTAGTAATTAGTAGTAGTGCGAACGTAGACTTTTCCGGATGGCATGGATACACGATCGACTCCTCCTGGGAAGAGTTTCGGGAGATCCTCCTCCTTTACTGTCGGCAGGATCATTACTTTCTCACCAGGCTACAATCGTTCACATAATTAAATCGGATAAAAACTTTCGCCATAAATTATCATCCGCCATTTATCATTATAATTGGATTAGATACTATCACAAATAACATGCAATGAAAGGTATAAGATTGAGACTTACGACCCAGTTGGCGGGAGTTGCTATCTCCGGCCTTCTATCGACGAGCTGCAGCGAATCGATTACACGTAATATTTCGCTAAAACGATAATAATATTAATTATCGATTAATAGAGTGAATTTAAATTAACACACATGTAGAGTAAATTTAAATTAACTCAGTATATGAATGCAAAATTTTGAAATGTTCTCAAACGCAAAATAGTGCAGTATTCGGTTAACTCACTCGACGTTACGCCCAGTAGAAGTCGGATATTGCATAGAAAGTCGTAGACGATGATCCGGACTGATAATATATAGAGACCGAACGGTCTGAGCGGTTTCCGGATCGTCCTTGCTCTGTTCATCGATCATGTCCAGCTGCACAGCGAGTTTGCGATCAGGATCAGCGATTATGGGATATGGAAAAGCACCAGGAATGTCTTTGCAGTACGATTTAATGTCCTGCAATAGAAATGAGAAATTACATTAGTTGGAAAATTAATTAACAAAACTAACCAGAATTAATTTGAAAATGGGAAAAAAAGAAATAGAAAAGCATAAAGATTCTGGACAAACATTAGGAATAACATTAAATATAGAATTCAAAGATACTTACATTGACCCAGTCTACATGATCCTTAAGTTTGTCAACAGAATGAGCAAGCAACTTGGTGTTGCGTTTTACGAAATACGGCTGATGCACCGCAATACGACCCAGTTCAGTGGTGCACACTGGAGTAAAGTCCGCAGGATGAGAGAATAGGACCACCCATCTGCGAAGAATAAATAATTATTAAAAAATCAAACATATTGACAAATTTATGTGATGAAAGTATCAAATTAAATGCATAATTATTATACACGCACGTACACACGCATATACTAAATATAAAATTCAAAATAAGATATATTTTATAATATACATTATATTTACATATAATTATAATTTTATATTTTATTTAAATTTAATTTTAATTTTAATTTTATATTAAAATACAAGATTATATATAATTACAAAAAATATAAATTAAACATTATCATTATAAATATATACATATTTTTTATACAATTATTGATATCGATATTATAAAATGTAAATTAAATTTTATTTAAAAATAATAAAATTAAAAAATGTATAAAAAGAAAAATATATATTTAAATAAAAAAGTATTATATCTCGGTAGATAAATTGTGAAAATACTACACAATAATAGCATCACAAATTGATGAAAAATTTCATAATAATTGCGTTAAAATGATTTGCCATAACGTAATAGTTTTGTTAGAATAACATTTTTTTAATGATGTTTATCAAGAATTAAACAAATTCAATTTAAAGTGTAAATATTTTATAATTTACTTTCTTTTAAAAATGAATATACACCGGCACAGATTAAAGAAACAAATTAAGACACATTATCCGATTATATTTTCAAATGTTCGACGAACATTTCCAAAAATTCAATTTATATGCATCTCAAAAGTCATTCTAATATTGTATTTTAGATTTAGTCATGTGTACTGAATGTATAATACTTAATGTTATAATATTATAATTTAGGAATATGTGCACTTTTATATAAGCACAATTATATTTTTAAAGTACAGCTATATAATTTTTTAAATTATTGAATAATTTCTTTCTAAATTTAATGGCAAATATGCCGCTAAGATTTGCTGTATCGTTATTTTGCCGAAATATTATATCGAAATTAATTGCGCAAGCAATTATTAATATTTTAGAAACGATCAGAATTTCTACATCTATTTTTATAAATATATCCACATAATTACAGATTACAAATTTTATCCAAGATTTTATCGTATAATTTTATAAATGTCCTATTATCGGAATATTTATGAAAAAAAATTCCAATATTGATATAAAATTAAAAGTTGATTGGAATTAATTCCAGATAATTTCCATTTTAGAACTTTGATCGATAATTAAATATATTATCCGTATACGAATTTTCGTTGACAAGTACCATCGCTTCTGTTAGTGCTTATCAAAAACACAATGATATAACGAGTCACACAATTACGCTGACTCGAGGGCGACACTTTCAATTACAAGTACTTAATATAGTCGAGTACTCGTTTTGGCATTATACCAAGGATAGACTCCGTTGTTGCAATATACATTTATTTCGGCTCATGTCCTTTGATTCTTCAATGCAAATTACGAACGCCGAGCGTTTGCAATTCATTACGCTTGGACTTCTTTATAATTTACTCTTATCTTTATTATTACTCTCAAAAAATATTTATTCACTTACGCAATTGCACGAATAATTTCATTTAATATAAATTAATCTAACGATCGTATTGATATATATGTATAAAGGGATAAAATTAACAAACTTGGTAACAAAATTACTGTTTGTATAAAATTAATAGTAAATTTCTTATATAATTCTAATGTAATTTTTTTTAGAATTTTTTACATAATTTTTCAAAATTAATCACAATTTTTGCATCATTTTATAACTTTTTAGAAAATTTTTTGAATATTTTTTTAATTAAAATTTTTCAATAATGCTGAAAGTCTACATTTTTTCCTAAAATTCTTTACATATATATATAAATTCTGAAATATTCTCTCTTTCTCTCTCTCATTTTTTATTTTACAATTTCTGAAGAAAACTTATAAAATCTGAAGAAATTTAAGATACTTTTTTAGAAATGCTCATAAATTTAAAATGTGAAAAATTCTTAAAAATATGAAAACCTTTTTACCAGGCAAGTAATTCACATACAACATGTCAATCAAATCGTTCTTTGCGTGTTATAAATTAATAACTGTTCGGAAATCGCAATGAAAATTGCTTGTAACAGATGGTTATCTTCAACAACCTGTTGACTGTTAGGCTAGAGAGATCTATTCTTGGATCATGCACTTTGCTGCGAACTACGCAATGGATAAATGTAAATTCAGATGTTTATTATTCGTGCCAGTTCTATGATAATGTATTTCACAATTTCCAGATATGTTTGCCGGTGGACAATTATCTCGAAAAAATAAACCCGATAAGATTTCTCATAAAACTAAAATTAATTTTGTAATCGGAGATTTCCATTGACGTTACCTCATATTTTCTTATATTTTATCATATTTAGTACGATTTTATCGTATTTAGCAGATTTTGAACTTGATTATATAACAAAATGAAGTTCACGATTAGTAATGACGAAATAAAATTTCGCGAAGAATTTTCATTCTATTTCTGTTGTATTCTTAATACATTTTTAAAATATTTTTGAAATTGAAATATTCAAAAGAAAATATGTGAGATATTTAAGTGAATAATGGATAAGAGATTTAAGTGGGTAATGTAATATGTCACTTTTTGTTAGCTAATATATAGCTATTATTTAATCGTATTACACATGCGCATATCATAATAAACAAAATATTACTATATGTAATATATGTATAATATGTGTGTGCCACTCACGAACTGCCTTGCCAATCATAAAAGTCGATGGGACCTTGCGTGGTATCGACTTTAAAATTCGGTACGATAGAGTTCAGCCTCATTACTGCTTTGTCCTTGAATACTTGATAGGAAAATTACACGTACTATGGTTGTCTGTCTCAGCGGGAGGTTTACCAAGCACTGACTTGACAGTCGATCTTACGCTTATTCATGCGCTTTATATACGGTGCCCAGATTGTTCCTATAACATGATGCAAGCCATACACATATTACACCCAATAGATATCATATCTACATATCCGATTTTACTGATATCAGATGAGTAAACTGCTTCTTTGAGATTGATACGGACGAAATTTTTTTTACGAAAATGGAAAGAAGAAAGCAATTCCTATCTTTAAAAAAATAGATTAATTAAAGATATTTCGAAAAACAAATAAGATAAATGTCCCAGTGGCCGGTTTAAGCGTAGCTTGGTCACTAATAATACAATTTATAATATTAGAAGATTTATAATATAAATATTCGTATTCGTTTGAAAAATTATTTGAACCCATTTATAATAATTATTAATTGAAATATTTAAATAAGTAACAGAGTGTGTCAGTGTACCAATGATCGAATAATCCAAATAGATTATGGCCCAATGTCCAGATGTAACTCTGCA